GGGCCGGTCAGGAGAGGTCTGCCACGCCATGTGGTCGCCTCCGGGGCAGGCAGGAATCGAACTCATGCAGAAGTGGCTTTAGTTTCTCAGTGCTGTGCTTTAACCCACTGCGCCACCAGCGAGGGCCTGTTGTATACTTTTTTATTGCATAAGTAGTGCTTTTTTGGAAAGTATGGAGATTAATTTTGTTCTCTCATAAGTTGTGTGATATTTTTATCTAATGCTCTAGGAATTTTTTTTTCTTTATAGTTTCGTAATTTTTTCTAACATGATCTTTGGTGTCAAATTATTCTGGGTGATTATTATCAGATATTTGGTGTACTCTTCAATGTGAATATTCAAACCTATATTCCAGGACTGTTTTTTTTGCAGTTCTGGGCAGTTGTTCTGTTACCTTGTTTTGGTTTTCTTCTTTCAAATCTTTTCTCATATCAAATGTTGAACCCTCGTTTCCTCTCTGATATTAATCTCAAATTCTCTCACCCTTTTTATTTTTTTTTTATTTTCAAGTTGAAATATAATACACCCATTTTTGAGTATACAATCCTATTTTTTTCATGTTTTTTCACTCAATTTAAAATATATAATTTTGATCTGTCTGATGACAAGGCAATATTATAACAGGCCCAAAAGAAAGGGTGCATGCCTGCTGTCTTGACTGTGTAAATGCAGAAGGTGCTTGGCAGCGTGGGTATGGGGCAGGTGCACTTGATTGTGGCTACCTGGAGCATGGAGCATGTGTGTGTGTGTGTGTGTGCGTGTGCGTGCGCATGAGCCTAGGGGCTGGGATAAAAGTAGCAGCAGTGGAGGATGAGTACAGAAGAGGCAAGATTATGCCAAGATGAACTGCAAGAGTGAATACCAGAGAGATGCCAGAGAAAAGTTTTTTGAGAGTCTAGAAGGCATGGCTGTGGGTCCTACCTGTGTGATTAACTGCAGGTAAATCCTGGAGTGTCCTGCATAGCATCTGTAAGAGCAAAATTAACATTTAACTGTAAGCAAAAGGAAGTCATCTTCTGTTAGCTACCAAGTTTGTAATCCTTGAGCTTTCTGGAACATAACCTGAAAAATCAAATTATCAGCAGTTAACTTTTCATTAAAAGGAGCAATTTTCCTACTTCTGTTAGACCTTTCTTAGTATGAAGCTGAATCTCAGAATCTTTTCTTACACCAGTAAGTAAATCCAGAATTTAAATAACATGTCCAAAACAAATTGTATAGACAAAATTCACAGCAGCAAATCGTTTCAAACTCATAAAATCTCTAATTTTTCTGATTTAGACTTTGTAAAAACCCAAGTTATTTTTGAGAATTCATTAAGGATATCAGTCATTGCATTGCATTACTGTTCAAAGCTTTTTTTTTTTTTTTAACTTTAGCACCCAACCATACATTTGTTAACTTAAATCAATACCTCCTTCTGGTTTCAGCTGGCCTCTCCTTGCTTTTCTATGGTTTATTCTGCAAAACGATAAAGAGTAACAGAGCAAAGAGGAGAAACTTATGGCTACCAGGCCTGGTGCCAGTGTCAGGGAGAATTAGGTAACTAGGAAACTTTAAATGTTTAGCTTAGTGCTCTAACACATGGTGAGCAGTGTGCAGAGATGCCTGTGGAAGACAGACAGGTGACTGGATGGATGGCCCCAAGAATTAGGCATACAATGAATACAGGTGTTTGCTTTTACTTGTAGAAAAGGGCCACAAGACAAAGGCAGACAAGGACTATCTGTGTGGATAAAGAGGATGCAGAACTCAATAACTTCAAGAATGGAAGCAAACAGAACCAGTGACTCCAGTGGAAGGTGCAAACATATTTTTCATTAAAAGTAAAAGTAAAATAGGGTCAGTTACACACAACTCACTGATTGCCAGTAGGGGGGAGCAGAATGAGCACACTGCAGAACTAATCAGCCAGAATCCAGGGAACCGGCATTCAAGGTCT